AGCCAACATTTGCTAATGAGCACTGATATGAATTTGTTTTTCAGGTACTGTAATAGTTGTGACCTGATGATGGTGCTATATCAACGATCTCCTCCTCCAGGGATCTTTAAAATCAGCACCAGTTTACACAGCAATACATCCAATATATACATCCTTTCTGAAATGCCAGAATATCACCAAAATCATTCAAACTCATCATCTGAGGACCATGAATGTCTCTTTAATGCGTTACCTACAACAAGACATTCAATCCGCTGACCTTTTAAAGGAGGTCACACTCTTGTATGAGTAGCAATCACTCTAAATCAAAAAATAAATGTTCCTTTAGGTTCCTAAAGAATTCAGGATACTACAGCAACACGACTGAGGCTTGTATCCACAGTAACGAAGTAAGACGGCCCACTTCAGCTGGTACTATACTGCTTACTGTTTTCATATTTTTTGCTCGCTCACGTGAAGTAACAATAAACAGTTTTTAGTGTTTCTTCTCTTCATAACTGTCAGGGATGCAATAGTAGTCTGAATAAAAATGACAATCTTTTGGGCAAATGATAAAAATAATCTACCGTTGTATATATTCTCAATATGTTTATGACTTCAGACCTGAAACAAATCAGAGAGACATGACAACAGAACTTGAGCTTCCCACACTGAGTGTGACGCCACATGAAAACGTGACAGCTAATGAATGTAGCCAAGTAGCTTAATGTACTGAATACTTCTTCAACATTAGTCAACTCCAAAGCAAGGGAAAAGTTCACATTCATATAAACCCCTATGCATCAAATGCACCATGGGAATAAAACACTGTGTTTACATGTTGTGTTTAAATCTCACTCAGGCCTCAGGGAGAGGAGTGACCTCCTCTCCCTGAGGCCTACTGTTCTGGCCAGCTGGTTGTGACATTACGAGACGTTTTCCCAAGATTGAATAAGAGTGATTGGACGGGCTTTCTCTTCGCTCTGCCTACACTGCTGAGAGGGAGAAACCACGTAGCGGACAACAAGGAAATAAATGGTTTTTGAAAGCATATTTGTGGTTAAGTGTTGGGTGTGTTTGTGTGAGAGGGCAAGGAACGGTCAGGTTTGAATGTGTACACAACTATGTGTTGTGCATTTGAAAGTGTGGGTGTAATGAGGGGATATGTGTTTGTGTTGATGACGAGTAAAGTAATAAAACTGGTACTCAAGTCTTATAATTTCATGTAACATTTTTCTACTTTGTTTTTAATACCTCAAGAAGCTGTTTTTATCCACAATGAAATGTCACCTTGACTCATCAATTGTCCAGCAACATTTTCTATTTATAATGATAAATAACACATATTAAACACTTCCCACTGCAGAGTCTGGCAGAAGGCCTAGAAGTGGATTAAGCTGTTTTCTACCCCAAACTTCTTCCTATTCTTTTTTTTTTTTTTTTTTTACAGTATAAGTTGTTTTGTTTGTTGTCGACGCAGCAGTTTGTGTAGAGTCGGCATTTTCTGCTACTGTTAGCCAACTTTTTCTAACGCATACTCAGTTGTTTTCTCATCAAAATCTACCCCTATGTCTCCCTAAGGACTCACTAATCATATGCTACTTTATACAGCTGAAACGACGCAGGCAATGTCAGGATTTATTTTTGAATATCTAACAAATCACCGACCACACTAAATGAAACGGGGATGCAGAAGTTGGAGCCAGCTCATAGAACTAATTTTCATGTATTTGAGCTTTTAGAGGATCTCTACTTTGACCTCTTATTTTTATTATTTTTCTTCACCTGCTTAGCGACTCTCGCGTGCGACGTATTATTGTTCCCACCACCTGCTGCACCCGACTTGCCCTCCGAGCTGGAGACCTGCTCCTACATCGCTCCTTCTCCTCCATTTATCTAAAGGGACAAAACAAAGAGAGAGAAGAGTATGAGTTCCTGACATCATCCCAACATGTCAAAAAACAAACGCAGAGAGATAAGGAGACACGGAAAGAAGCTGAAAAGATTTGGAAGAACATGAGGAAGAAATTGCTTAGGGTTTAGTTCTGCTTTGTAGGACTGTGCATTCAGGATAAATTAGCATCTCATCTGCTGTGTTTTTATATTCAGAGCATGTAGTCTGACTTGAATAAGATGAATAATCAGATATGTGAACACAGAGCAGGGAAGGCTGAGGGAGGAAAAGAGAGGGGAGGAATGTTGCCAGGAGGAACAACAACACATGTCACACACATTCACAGAAATGACCTGATTACCTAAACGCGACTGCACAATCGCACACTAACGAAAATCACAAAGAACTTTGGCATAAATATGCTACAATCTGCACATTTCTTCTCCACAACTCTGCAGCTGTGAAACTTCTGCTTATCCTGCCCTTTCAGCAGCAGAGTGTTCAGGACATAATGAAGGATAGAGGGGCTCAGTCAAACCCCAGGGAGACAAATCTGGTCAGCATTGAATCCTGTCCAATTCTTAAGACTTACGAGCCCGCTCAACTGTGTTTTGTTTCTGTCAGCCGATCAATACGCTGGCTTTGAGCTTGTAGAGCCTCTGATAATTCTCTGACAGGGTTTATTATCTACTAAAACAAATACACTCTACAAAGGGTCCTGTGTAGTAAATGTTCATGAAGTTTCCTTTTGTGTTTCATGTAACAGCAACAACATTTGTAGAGGCCAGGGTTATACTGCAGAATCAGAATTGAATGTTTGTTTTGATTTATTCAATCTGCTTTTCACACCTGGGTTGATCTCTTTGACTTCAAGGCAGACAAACCTGAAGGAAACTTCAGCAGGAATTGGAAAAGTTGTGACGCAGACCTGATCGATACAGCTAATGATGATGAATGTCCTGCTGAAACCTTAATGATCCATACCTTGGCAAGGGCGACTAGCAGCAGGGAGCAGAGTTTGATCAGCTCTCTGAAAATATGGAGGAAACTTCTGCAGGCCGAGACTTCCTGTAAACAGAACACTTTTCTGGCCTCCTGCCACACCTGTATGGGGTGTCTTAAAACAAGCTGGTGTCCAATGAATGAGGAAGATAACCTCATTAGAGCGCTATTACTTCACTGTACTTAAAGTGTTGAGTAATGGGGAAACAATACACGCTGCACTGCAATCAATAGAGGATGTTAAACAGCCCTGCTGTGAGTAAAGTCATGTCTTTGACGCTTTTTAAACGATCAGCAGCTAAAATCTAATCTCACCTCTGTTTAAGTGATCACTAGTTGTCCAGCGATGACTAACATCTCACAGTATGATTAAATCAAACAGTGTAGGTCTTGCCTTTTAAGAGGATTAAAGCCCCTCGTTTTGCACCGCCCCACACAGGCCAGGGTGTCAGTTTAGCACCTCTAGCTTATCCAGATTGAGGCAGATTGGCGAGGGATGAGTGAACGGAGGTGGATGACAGCTGCGCACAAGGAAGGAGCCAAGTCTGATTGTTAACACAAACGCCCCCGTTAAATCGCTGAGAGCAATCAGTGTCATTTAGATCCTAAAACATGTCCGGTCTACCAATAGTGTCGTTGTTTTGGGATGTGCAGAAGAACACTTGCAGGTGTATAGGTGTGCATGTGTTGTGTATGTATGTATGTGTAGCCGTCAGTGCTGAGTCAGGTGACTTGTTTTTGCAGATACTCTCCTTCTGTCTCTCTTCAGACTTTCATTCTCTCTCTCTCTCTCTCTCCCCCTCTCTCTAACCTCAGTGTCCTTGCTAAGTCAGGTAGTCGTCTCAGATGACAGTCTCTTCGGGCAGTGCAGCCAGCCATTTTTTATAGACATGCTCATCCTTAGTTTAAGGTGTTTACAATCCTCACTCTTGACAAAAACAGCACACCAATGTTACTTTGTTAAAAGCCATGCTCCAGTGGGTGTAAAGGCAGACATGTTAAGTGTGTATTATTGGTTCGACCCTTGAAATAAAAATAAGGTATTTCTCGTTAGTTAAAGTTAAAGTAGAGAGAAAAATGCACAAAAAAGACAAACCATGCATTCTAGTTCTGGAGCTCAATCTTTCCTGCATGTTTTCAGAGAGCAGCACAATATCCTTCAGTTTCATCCAAAGACTGCGCGAGTGTGACTCACCGTGATGTGGCTTGTCTCTTCAAGACTCCAGAACACAAATAACCTCTCGCCCTCTGAGACATCAGCTCTGCAGCCCCTCCGAGATTGGCTGAAAAGAGGTGGAGGGGGCTCCGTGTGATCATCAGGGCCAATCCCAACCTGGTTGCGGCCACCTGTGCAGAGCAGAGGAGCGCTGTTTGGAAGAGCTGTCAGATCCCATAAACAAGATGCACAATAACCACACAGTGGGTTTATAATTAGAATGAAGTGTGAAAAGACAGGATTTCGAGTGTGATTAAGTCCGATCAGCTGTATCTGCCTTTGGATTTTTAACCTATTTGTTGTAACAGAACTGTTCCAGTTGTTGAGGATTTCAGAGAGAGCACAGAAGTATGTCAAGCAGAGCAGAGGCGAGTCCAAACCAGCTATGTGGTTGTGGTTTTCCAAGAGGCCCCTCCTCTGGTCCCCAAGGCTCTTCCTCCTCTCTCTCTCTCTCTCTCTCTCTCTCTCTCTTTCTCTCTCACAAGGCGATGTGGAGAGGAGGCACTCCATCTCCGTCTGGTTGTCTAAATTAAAATTTCATACCGCCCAGTTCAGTTAACATTTCTTACTGGGGCGCGCTCTAAAAGCAAAGAGGACAGCCTGTGATTCCGGATGTGGGGGAGAGAGAAATGCTGCCAGGCAGACAGAGATATCAGCCAATAATAAATGAGGCCAAGTCTTTATATGAACATCAGGGCCAGATATGGCTGAAACCTTAGCTAGCCTCTGGTTTGGGGATAAAATACACACTTTGTAGTGAAAAGTCTTGCTGTTGAACGAGCTGAGATGCTGACTAAACATCCTTGAGCTAGAATAAGGGAACCGCCTTATTGTGGGCTTGACTGTTGATCTGTGAAGTAAACTCTAACTCCACAGAGCTTTCAACTACAAGAGGGAGCACGAATCAAGGAATTGATGGTCCCATCTGTGCGGCTCTTCAATCAGGCCCTGTGTCCCGGTGAAAAGCCAGCACAGGGCCTAGACCCACACAGACTGCAGGGCACATGAATAATGCATGGTGCTAATGCAGCTAGCTAGGCCTTCTGCCACTTTGCAAACAGTGGCAACAAGGAAAGGGGAGCGCAGAAGAAGAGAGAGCCACAGGAGAGACGTATGGGGGTGGGGAGAGGGGAAGGGGCTCTAAAGGGGGCAGAGAAAAAGGAGAAGGGATACAGAAGAGAGAATTGGTCAAAGAATGAAAAGAAAGAAAAGGCAGGATATTGCAGGGGGGGAGGGATGGGGGAGAATTTTAAAGAGGGTGAAGAGGGCAGCGGCAAAGAAAAAGAGAGTGAAGCTGCAGGGGGAAGAAAAGAAAGAACAAAAGTATCTACAGTGAGACATACAGGGGGAGTGAAGAAAAATCTGACCAATGATGCTTTTCTTCACCAACTGAGAGCAAACAAGTCCACAAGTCAGACGTTGACATATAGCCAAGCATTGCTTAAATAAAACAACAGCCCATTTGTCTTTTTTTTTCTTGACTACAGGCTGTCTTAAATGAAGAGATTGGTTCCTGTCTTTCTATCGGTTTGACAACATTTCCATCTGATCCTTGGCAATAAAGATCCAGTGTCTGCAAACTGGTGATGAGTCTGCTGCTAATCTGGTTCACAATCAATAGTAATCTGGAATTCTGTCCTGCGCTGTCGTGCCCTTTAGTCCCCATGCTGCCGACACACACACACACACACACACACACACACACACACACACACACACACACACACGCACACACACACACACACACACACACACAGCTCATCAGCACACATTGTAGCCTGCCTGGCCTTTTACTTTCCCTACTTTCTCTCCTCACTTTATCCTTTCACTCCTCTATGACATACAAGACCTAAGACATAAGTTGTGCCCCTCGTAAGGCGCCCATGGTTCGAGTCCAACCTGTGGCTATTTCCCTCATGTAATAGCCCACTCTCTCCCCCATATTTCCTACTGTATCCACTGTCTTAAAAATATATATGTCAAAATTTCCTGAGTCAATGCCCCCACCTCCATGTTTATTTTCTTCAACAATGTCGCTCTGTCTCGGTCTAAACAGTCAGTTATTCAATCCTGTCTCCTGGTATGAGCCTGCATGCAGTTCATACAAGTACTCTTCCTCTCCCTCTCTCTTCAGGGGTTGAGAGGTGCCAATGAACTAGCAGCTTCTGTGCAGCCAGCTGGATAGAAAACAGACCAATTAGCACTGCTGGGCCAGAGTGGGCCACGGCAGGTCACACACACACACACACACACACACACACCTGGACCTGGCCCAAGAGGTGGACAATGTGTCCACCACATACAGCTGCTGACATAATCCAAGCTAATGGCTATGACAAACTGATTGACAGGGGGGAATTTGTCAGCAAAGTCTTGTCGATCAGCTGTTCACATTAATGAATTAGGACTGGTAATGCGCACACACACACACACACACACACACACACACACACACACACACACACACACACACACACACACACACACACACACAGCTCTCCATAATATATAAGTGAAGTGTTACACAATCAGAAGCCAGACTCCAGCAGAAACTACACTCCCCCCACTGAACAACAGATTTATTTAGAAAGGAGCAGTTGGCTTATATCGATATCTCTTTTCTAAAACTGTCCCGTTCACACAAGCACACACACACACATATACACACACACTCTCCTTTCCAGTCGAATATGACACACCGTACACAGCTGCAACAAATGAGGCTCAGCATAGCAGCAGCAGCAGCTGGGGTTGATTCAGCAACTTGACAACTCATTTTGGCTCACAGTTGCTGCCAACGAGTTTGGACACAGAGATCAGTGAACGTTCAGTCCAACAGCAGCACATTTGGCAAAAAATAAAGTGTGTGAATATCTGTATAATGTGTGTGTGCCGGAGGGGCAGGCAGGTTTATGTGAGGCAGCTGGATTACCTCAGATAGAATGAATGCAAATGTTGTAAAAGTGAGGAACAAGTGAAGCAGTCAACTAGTCCTCCAAAGATTTATATGAGGAATAAAAGAAGTGCAGAATAAACAACATCATTTTCATTCCTGACAAAGAAAAGAGAAACAAAAGGTAACAAAAGCAACCATTTACACCCATTAGAGGCTGGTTCTTGTTCATGCAACAAATAATGAAAAGCATTTCATGACATCGTCGTATTTAAGATATTGCGCAACTTCATTGTCACGTCAGATTCTGCAATAATCAGATATAAAATTATATAACTGGACATATAAAATAGAAATACAATAAAATCTTCCCTCTGCCATCTTCTCAAGAAATTAAAAACTCGCTGATACTGGAATTTCTTTCTTCATGCATTAATAAGCAGGCTCCTGAGGTTCTCAGTGACACAGATTTCAATTTTGGAAACTCAGGGGTGTGCAAATTGGAATTTTAGGGAGTCCTTTCATGCAGCATTTTTTACATCGTTTTTTTTTTCCTGTAAAGAGGATTATTATGAAGAACTCAAATTGATAATTCATGAAATGAGTTTGAATGTGAGTTAAAACTGTTTTGATGATCGGCTGCCTTTTCTCAAGTTGTTTTATGATGTATGACGGTAATGTCAGATTTACTTTATGACTGAAATGCTCTGTTGTTGGTCTGTTGTTGGTCTGTTCTGCGATTAATGATGATTTGATTAGTTTCTTCCTTTGTTTACCTCTTTGGAGATTCAGTGTCTGTGCTGTCAGACAGCTACAACAACTAAAGACATTACAAAAATGACAAATAAGAATGACATCACTATATTCTATGACATGGATTTCTTTTAGTTAGCTATACTGGAGGCTTTGTAGGATCTCTGAACTCAGTATTCTGCTGGGGAGGGGGGGTTACTCTGAAAACAATCCTGGAACACTTAAATTCATCATCTGACAGGGACATAGCCTCTGAGAGCAACAAAATATTTAGTGATAAAGGACTTTTTACAATGACTTCTTTTTTTTTGAGGGAGTCATTTTTTACAATCTGACAAGCAACATTAAGAACAAGCATGAAGTGGGTGTTGCGAAACAATAGATAAGATTGTAGATTGCTTAACGGTGGGTGTGTTCGGCCCCTTTTGCTCTCTGTTTTTCCTGCATACACCCAAAGCCTGCTGCAATGCTAGTAGACAATACTGCTTGTACTACAAATGGAAATCCGAACCCTTCGATGCCACATCCAGGACCCCAAACCTTTAGTTCTGTTGTTGATTTTTTTCAGAGCGTGTAAACAGAGATTACTCTTTAACTTTACCCTGATGGTAACAACTCATATTGACAACAGAGGGGATGTGTTACATCACTTAGAATCTTTTTTTAACCCATTCCTTACTTCAGATATTTGTGGTTCCTCAGAGGATCAAGTCTGATAGCGTTGGTGATCCATGTCAGGTCAAATTTTCATTTATTAATTTAATATCTCAACTGTCTACATGATGGATTGGAAAAGCACTTTGGCACTGCCTTTTGTGGTTCCCAGAAGATGAATCAAAATGCTATTTGGGATCCAGATTTTTACCAGCAGCAGGTTAAAATCTGTGTTTTTGGTCAAATTGATCAAAAGCATCCGGATGGTTAGCTACTAATTTGATACCCAAATTCATCAATCTTGTAGGATATAGTTTAATTACATCATTGATTCTTTAACATGTTTTTCTTGGGCCATGAATGACATTTCATAAGCCCTAACTATTCAATAAACTAACTGCCTCTAATTGTAAGTAAGCATGACCATGACATGTTTATTCTGTCATTGCTTATATGTTCGCATGCTGATGTGAGCATTCAGCCCAAACAGAGCTGTGCTTCAGTAGAGTCTGACAGAGCTGCTAGCAGAGTTTTAAATCTTGTTGTTATTGTACAGTTGTTTAGTTTGTGTGTGTTGCTATAGGGATGACGGGCTAATGAACCAGTTCATGCTTTACAAACTGTGTGGTATTGGTCTATGCTATGTTCTGGACCCCATCCAAATTAAAAATTCAAACGTAAATTAATCTAGCACTAAAATCCACTGAGGGAATGATATAAAAACATTTATGAAAGTCAGCTGTCAAACAGTACTCTGGATGTTTAAGTCTGCTGATTGTCATCAATGCTTGTTGTGTTTTTCTGGTTATTTCTCTTTTACCTGTCTTTCAGGCTCGAGCATATTTCCTGTTTTTCATTCAGCCTGTCAGCTCATTCCATTAGCATTATGAAGACAGGGCTCAACGTGCACCGCTCATTTCATTTCCCCTTTCATCCGCGACCTGGCAAGGCTTGAGTTCCCCAGTGAACTATTAAATAATGGGTCCTTTGAAGATTAATAGTGCACTCGCTGTGTTGTCTAACAAATCTTTATCGATGGTTCTGGAGAGGGACAGACAGACAGACAGACAGACAGACAGAGGAGAGGAAGATCTTGATGTCTGGGGAAAGTCTTTGGGTGTTAGAGAATGATAGATGTTGTAAGTCTGGAAAACTGTCTGCCTCTTCTGTTGCTGTCTGAGCCAATTTCCTCAACTCAGTGATCCTTCAAATAACTGCACAATAGAGGGCTTATCTTTAAGTAAAGGTAGAGTAATAAGAGTGGGGCCAGTGAGCCAGCAGCTACAAAAGGCCTCTGGGCTCTGGATAATACTTATATATATATATAGTCACAGTATGATTTTATTTATTTCTATCACAGCAAAGAATAGGAGAGGACAAACCTGGTTATGAAGCATTGCTTTACTTAAGTCAAAAACATTTTACATTAGCTTTGTGCAGAAATAGAGTTGGCCTACATTATGGCATCATTGCCAGTCAATTGTGCCATCACCATGGAGCTGTCACATCAATGAGGTCACGTCTCCTTTTTCCACTGCAAGAGAAGCATGGGTACAGTTTGAGGGGAAAATACACATTTACGGTACACCCCACCTCTGTTCTGATTTCTATCCGTACTACATATATCAGTCTACACAATCATCTATCCATCTGCTATCATTTCCATCCACACCTTTCACCCCAGTCCATACATGTATTGATTCATCTTTCTCTCTCGGACCAACCAATATTGATAAATCCAAAGCTGCCATTAGCCAATAGCGGCAACAATATGAATCACATTCCTCAGCAGTTTCACTTATTGATTCATCTAATGATCAAGTTGATCAAGGCATTGGGTTGGCCCACAGCAAACACCATCCCAGCTTCACAGCGTGCCCTGGAGACAGTCGAAGCTAAGACTAAAGAGGAAGAGAGAGGAAGAGGATGGCTGGCTGGCTGGCTGCTGTAAGTGGGACACAGGAGCAGTCAGCAGGGCAGATCGAGGCTAATGCAGCCAGGCATCAAGTCTGTACTGATGTGGACGCTCTGCCTGGCGTATTCCTCCTCTGGCAGAGTAACCTCGGAGCAGCAGCGTCTCCCATCACATGTTGTAGCATACATCCCTGAGTCATAGCACAGAGCCTGCAGCAGTGGCACGCACAAACTGTGCAGACATGAGTGAAAGCAAAACACTGAGAATCCACAGACAAATCTGATCATCTGCACTTCTTCGCTGGCATCCATTCATTCATCCATTGGTGTGCTTCAGTGTGTGTACTACAATGAGCAGCTGCATATGATAATGTTGTTTTCTTTTTAAACTCAGTGATAATCTTGAGTGTGATGTCTCTATGCACAGTGATGGCTGTGGTAACACACGCGTTTAAATGGAACCGCAATCAGCAGTCATATTAAATCATGTCATGCATTAAATGAAGGCCCCAGAACAGCAAAACGCATTGTTCCGGTCTAGTTGTGTTGAGCTTATCATGCCTGGCACGGCACGGAATAGCGCAGGAAAGAGGCTGCTACTGGCCAAAGGATACGAGCAGAGAAAAAAAAAAAAAAAAGGAGAGGCGACTGTCCCAGAGTGTCTGCACATCGCCTACGCCCATTCATAATGTGCGTGTTTTACTACCCAGACTCCTGGCATCCCCCTGATCCGTCAGGATTTAGTCCGTTCATCTCCAATCTGTAGCCGGTGACGGAGATTTCACTGCGCATACGACAGCATGGATCTCCATAATCACTGCACACGACGTGTTCGTGAACACGCAGATGAATGCCATTCAGTGTGGTGCGAAATGTCTCATATTGTTATTTTGTATCGTATACGTTTCATACTCAAATAGTCCGAAGGCTTAATATGGGCTGTGAAAGTGAAAACCCACGTATCGACCGTGTCTGTAGTCCATAAACGCTTTAAAAATGCTCTTAATATAATCGATATTAGCTTTACACTGACCCAACACTATAACTTTGATCATTGACCGCAGCCATGCCAGCAAAACCAGGAGGCTTAACAAAGAAAGAAAGAAAAAAAAAAAAGGTCAGTCTTTTGTTGCTTCATTTTTAATTTTAATCGGATTTCAACCTGTCCATCACGTCCTGAACACTGGGACACGAGTAAAGCCTGCTGGCGTAGTGAAGACTACCGTCGCTTAAATTATTCATTTCGATGTGATTACAAATCAGTTCAAATGGCAGGAATGGATGCAAGGTGTACCACCGGGCGCTCCTTCATCAGACAATAACACCGGGATATACCGACAAAACTCACCTCGTGGTCGGAGGAGGAGACAGACGGACCGGGAGACTGGCAACGTGAACCCAGAAAATATCACTGATGCGCAGATTTTTTTTTTTTTTTTTAGGTCGAATGATGTTTGTCTTTGAAAAATATCCCCGGCGTCCTCCCCGGGCCGGACGGTGATGGTGAAGTGATGTGTGGGGGGTTTGGCTATGTGCTGGATGCTGTCATCGTACTGGGACTGTTCTCTGCCTAATCCTCGGCCCTGAGCTCAGATATAACCCATCCCCTCCTCTCTCTCTCTCTCTCTCTCTCTCTCTCTCTCTCTGCTCTCTCTCTCTGCTCTCTCTCTCTCTCTCTCTCTGCCTCCTCTTCTGTCTGACCGGAGGACCCCCACCCCTCCCCCGCAAGGTCAGCTCTATCCACTGAGAAAGGCTACATAATAATAATAATAATAATAATAATAATAATAATATTATTATTATTATTATTAAATACGTGTTTGCCTCTTAATATTATTATGAAATCAAAGAAAATAAAAACAGAAAACAAACAAAAGCAACATTTTCAGTTTTTCAACACAACATACTGTATATATAATATTTAAGCACTCTATTTTGGTACAGCTGTATGTCATTGAACTTAAGATAAACCTTTCATTTTTTGTCTGGAAAATTCATTCTTTGTTTTCTTCCAAAAGATAGTTGTTTTGTATCTGTTTACTGTTACTTTTATCAGAGTAAATACTTGTACAGCCTTCCTCAGTCATTCACTCCAGAGATGGAGTTAATGGAGCCCAGTATTTGTTGTGTGTCAGCAGGTATGGGGTCTTGTTAAGCAGCCACTACTAAATCACAATATCAAATAAAACAAGTTGTACATTAGTGCCTGACTTCTGATTCCGTGTCAAAAATTGACATTATGCATAATCCTAAATGCCAAATTAAAGTAAACTACAAGACAAAGGGGTCAATGGGATTTATCTTTCTAATTTTGAACAAATATGCCCCTAATGTTTTGTGTGGTAATGCCCTATCTATCGTGAGATTAAATACAATATTTAAAAAAAATGGATCAACAGAAACACAACCACATAATATGATTTAAAGAAATCAGTCTAATGAATGGAATATGTTTTACAAAGTAAAATAATAAGACTATTTTGTGTCGCGTTGAACTACCTGAATACGTTTAAAATCCCTTTATAAATGTGGTTATTTATTTTATAAGTAGCCTATTTGATTTTTACTTCCACGGTGCCACGGTTTGATTTTTTTTTCTTCTCTTTTGCTTTCTAGTGTCTTCGTGCGGTTTGTCCCTCTGTGCGCGCCGTACGTCATCGTAACTTCCGTTCAACGTACTTCCGGTGTAGATTATTTCACTCATGCTCCTGCAACGGTGATTTTTTTTTAACCACGCAAGGCCGACAGAAGAAAACACACAAGCACCATGTTTAAACTAGAAGGACTCGGCCCAAAGATGGACCCAGAGGAGATGAAGAAGAAAATGCGACAGGACGTCATCTCATCTCTACGAAACTTCCTTATTTACGTCGCTCTTCTCAGAGCCAGTAAGTGAACAATGACATTGACATGAAGAGCATCACTCACTACCATGTTCCCTTCATGTCTCCTCCATGTTTCATCCATGTTTCCTTCATGTTTCCTTTATGTTTCCTCCATGTTTCCTCCATGTTTCCTTCATGTTCCCTTCATGTTTCCTTCATATTTCCTCCATGTTTCCTTTATGTTTCCTTCATATTTCCTCCATGTTTCCTCCATGTCTCCTCCATGTTTCCTTCATGTTTCCTCCATGTTTCCTCCATGTCTCCTCCATGTTTCCTCCATGTTCCCTTCATGTTTCCTTCATATTTCCTCCATGTTTCCTCCATGTCTCCTCCATGTTTCCTTCATATTTCCTCCATGTTTCCTCCATGTCTCCTCCATGTTTCCTCCATGTTCCCTTCATGTTTCCTTCATATTTCCTCCATGTTTCCTCCATGTTTCCTTTATGTTTCCTTCATATTTCCTCCATGTTTCCTCCATGTCTCCTCCATGTTTCCTTCATGTTTCCTCCATGTTTCCTCCATGTTTCCTTTATGTTTCCTTCATGTTTCCTCCATGTTTCCTTCATGTTTCCTCCATGTTTCCTTTATGTTTCCTTTATGTTTCCTTCATGTTTCCTCCATGTTCCCTTCATGTTTCCTTCATGTTTCCTCCATGTTTCCTCCATGTCTCCTCCATGTTTCCTTCATGTTTCCTTCATGTTTCCTCCATGTTTCCTTTATGTTTCCTTTATGTTTCCTCCATGTTTCCTTCATGTTTCCTCCATGTTTCCTTTATGTTTCCTTTATGTTTCCTCCATGTTTCCTTCATGTTTCCTTCATCTTTTCTTCATGTTTCCTCCATGTTCCCTTCATGTCTCCTCCATGTTTCCTTTATGTTTCCTCCATGTTTCCTCCATGTTTCCTCCATGTTTCCTTCATGTTTCCTTCATCTTTTCTTCATGTTTCCTCCATGTTTCCTCCATGTTTCCTCCATGTTTCCTTCATCTTTTCTTCATGTTTCCTCCATGATCCCTCCACGTTTCCTCCATGTTTCCTCCATGTTTCCTCCATGTTTCCTCCATGTTTCCTCCATGTTTGCTTCATGTTTCCTCCATGTTTCCTCCATGTTTCCTTCATGTTTCCTCCATGTTTCCTTTATGTTTCCTTTATGTTTCCTCCATGATCCCTCCACGTTTCCTCCATGTTTCCTCCATGTTTCCTCCATGTTTCCTCCATGTTTCCTCCATGTTTGCTTCATGTTTCCTCCATGTTTCCTCCATGTTTCCTTCATGTTTCCTCCATGTTTCCTTTATGTTTCCTTTATGTTTCCTCCATGTTTCCTCCATGTTTCCTTCATGTTTCCTTCATCTTTTCTTCATGTTTCCTCCATGTTTCCTTTATGTTTCCTTTATGTTTCCTCCATGTTTCCTCCATGTTTCCTTCATGTTTCCTCCATGTTTCCTCCATGTTTCCTCCATGTTTCCTTCATGTTTCCTTCATCTTTTCTTCATGTTTCCTCCATGTTTCCTCCATGTCTCCTCCATGTTTCCTCCATGTTTCCTCCATGTTTCCTTCATCTTTTCTTCATGTTTCCTCCATGATCCCTCCACGTTTCCTCCACGTTTCCTCCATGTTTCCTCCATGTTTCCTTCATGTTTCCTCCATGTTTCCTCCATGTTTCCTTCATGTTTGCTTCATGTTTCCTCCATGTTTCCTCCATGTTTCCTTCATGTTTGCTTCATGTTTCCTTCATGTTTCCTCCATGTTTCCTCCATGTTTCCTCCATGTTTCCTTCATGTTCCCTCCACGTTTCCTCCACGTTTCCTCCACCTTTTCTTCACCGTTTCCTTCACCGTTCCCTTCATCTTTTCTTCATGTTCCCTTCATGTTCCCTCCATGTTTCCTCCACGTTCCCTTCATGTTTCCTCCACGTTCCCTTCACGTTTCCTCCATGTTTCCTCCACGTTTCCTCCACGTTTCCTCCACGTTCCCTCCACGTTCCCTCCACGTTCCCTCCACGTTTCCTCCATGTTTCCTCCACGTTTCCTCCGTTCCCTCCATGTTCCCTCCATGTTTCCTCCACGTTCCCTTCATGTTTCCTCCACGTTCCCTTCACGTTTCCTCCATGTTTCCTCCACGTTTCCTCCACGTTTCCTCCACGTTTCCTCCACGTTCCCTCCATGTTCCCTCCACGTTCCCTCCATGTTTCCTCCACGTTTCCTCCACGTTCCCTCCACGTTCCCTCCACGTTCCCTCCACATTCCCTCCATGTTTCCAATGAATTGATGTGTAAAAATTGACCTGAGGGCCATGTTGAGGGTTGTGGACCCCACATAAAGAAGCTCCCCAAACCTGCTCTAATCTAATGCCTGGTTTTCTTCATTTACAGCCCCATATGTGCTGAAGAAGCTGGACAGCATATGAGCAGAGCAGCTGTTTTCTTCCATCAGAGACACTATGGACCATCATCGGCAGACGATGGGGGCCATTACAGCAAATCCTCTGACGATGACCAGAGTCTGTCACTCACTGCACCTGATGCAACACCCTGATTTCATTTTTAGTCTTGTTCTTACGGTGTGTTGGCCTTTCATGTTCAACATCAAGTGAAATGCAATGTTTGCTTTTGTGTATACCTACTGTGTTCACAAAATGATGGGAGACAATGTTTATGTCTTTGGTTTGTTACTTTTCATGAAATCTGCTCTGTTCTACTCATGTTGAATTCAAATTGTAAAAACTGCATTTGAAAAATGTCCATGCTAAATTCAAGCTCCAACATTCTGAAGATCTAAATGAATACGTGTTCGCCTCTTAATATTATTATGAAATCACTGAAAATAAAAACAGAAAACAAACAAAAGGAAAATGTCTTTTTCAGTTTTTCAACACAACATACTGTATATATAACATTTAATCAAAAACAAACCTGGTGCTTTTGTCTATCCATTTTGGTACAGCTGTATGTCATTGAACTTAAGATAGGCCTTTCATTTTTTGTCTGGAATATTCATTATTTGTTTTCTTCCAAAAGATAGTTGTTTTGTATCTGTTTACTGTTACTTTTATCAGAGTAAATACTTGTACAGCCTTCCTCAGTCATTAACTCCAGAGATGGCGTCTGAGGGCCCACCAATGTGCAAGCAGGCAGCTGAAAAATCTACACTTAAATACTGAATCTGAATTATTCATATAAATTAATAAAAATGACTGATTACGTTTTTAGGCAATGTCACAGGATGTACACAAACATCCTACACGCAGGTTTAGTTTGTGTTCAGACATCTAAACAATTTGTAACCCTCTGAATACTACTTTGTGGACACAGTGTAAGAAAGCAAGAATGCAGTCTATATGTAGCTTAGAATGATGCTTTTAAAGAAAGAGACAGGTGTAGAAGTACAAGTGAATGGTTTGTGGCTGCTCTCCAAGCTGTGTTAAGAAATCTCCCATATAAATGTATTTGCAGACTACATAGCTCTGTGAATGACGTCATGTTGGTCCTGTCCAACATTAGATAGAGTACTCTTTGTTACCAGTCCCAGACAGTAGACACTGATACAGAAGCCTCTTTTTTTGGGATTGAAGCTTCTTAAATTGTTCATATAGACCAGGGGTGGGCAACTGGCGGCCCCCATTAACCCTCAACGTGGCCCTCAGGTCAATTTGTACATATCAATTAATTGGAAACATGAAGAAAACATGACAAAATCTGCCATCAAATCATGAAAACCAGAAATATGTCCATAA